GGTCCAAGTGGGCTAATTGGACCGGGCAACAACGGACCCGGTCAAACCCGTTCAAAACCCGGCCGACCCGGCCTTGACCCGGTCGACTCGAGGCATTGATCCAGCTGTCAACCCGGTTGACCCGGTCCCTATATGTATTTTTTTTATTTTTTATTTTTTGTTTTTTAATTTTCTTTTTCTTTTTAAAAAATAAAATTATGCATATATATTTACAGGGTAAATATATACATGTTATTACCACTTTAATCTACAAATTTTACATACAAAACATTTAAGTTTGTTATTTTTATGTATATTTATCAAGGAAATAAATAGCTCGCTAAAGTTGCCGCTATTTGAGAAATAGTTTTTTTTTGGCAGCGTGCCGCTATTTGTATTCATTTGCAATTTAGCTGCTAAATCCCGCTAAATCTCTGCTATAGCTACAATGCCATAAACGTTTTAGCCCGCTATTTAAAACCTTTATATTTATATATCACAAAATACTCTATATATAATTTTATAAATTTTAAAATTAATTATCCGGTTCAGCAATTGACCCGGTGACCCGGAGACCTGCCCGGGTCGATTACCGGGCCGGGTTTAAAAACTATGATAAATATATAATTTGACAGAACAACATTTAATTTTATTCTAATACATTTAGTTATATTTTCCCTCCATTTTTTTCAGCATTTAATTATATTATTTCACTTCCCTCCAATGCATTTAATTATATTATTTCACTTCCCTCAAATGCGTTTAATTATATTATTTCACATCCCTCCTAAACCTGCTACATATGTTATATTGTTTTTTTTTTCTGATTTTTAATTCTCTTTGTTACCACACATGATCAATAATTACATGTATTTTTTACCTAAATTTTTCTATTATATTAAAACGATTATCCTCTATTTTTCAAGTAAATTACATCATAAAATCATGCATTTTATTTGAATTATTTGACATAGAACGTGTAAGCATTGATATATAATCATTTTAGTTGCAAATACTCAAAAAATAAATCAAATTACAAAATTTGATATTTAAATTAAAAAAATATTAATCTCCAATCTACTCTTGCTATTGTACCAGCAAAATAACCGTAAAAAATTAATTATTAAATATTAGCTATTATAACATAATATCATAACATCATTCTATAATTAAATATTAGCATGCTATCAAACATATTTATTTTATTATTCAGAAATTATTTTTTTTTCCAACGATATAATGCTTCTCATAAACCATAAAAATGGGAATGTTCAATGGGGAAAACCCCGCCTGGATACAAAGGGAGGCTATGCCCAAGGCAACCTAACCGAATGAAACTAAACAAACATAAGATACATCAACTACTCGAAATCAACACCAACAATACAAACAGATACTCCCATAAAATGCTAAAGAGAACTAAATATGAGCCACTGCAAGGCCTAGCACATCCTCAGTTTCTAGCCATTACACATTAGACTGAGAGTTCGAAAAATCCATCCAATCCCTGACTGTCGCCTTAACTAACCAGATTTCAGGTTGCATCTGCCCTTCAAACACCCAAGTGCACCTCGATTTCCACATCCACCATAGTATATAAGTAGACAGTTGGATTCTGTCCTCTGATATTCCTTGAAAGTTCATAGCAGATATCCACCACCACCATTGCTTGAAACTCAGATGTTCTTGTGCCACTTTGTTCCATTGTACAGGAGAAATACCCCACACTTTAACTGCTCTTTCACATTGAAATAATACATGCTCTTGAGTCTCTGCTGCTTCACCACAAACTCTGCAGATAATATCCAAATCCAACCCCCTAGACTTGAGATTTGCATTGACAGGCAAGATATTGGTGAAGCATTGCCAGATGAAATGCTTAACCTTGCCCTGAACATTCATATTCCAACATCTCAACCTTGCTCTACTATTATTTGCAGCCAGAGAACTACATTCAGCCCCCACAGAAGCACTCAGTTTCCCAGCAGAAAGTAAATTATAAGTTTTTTTTACAGAGAATTTCCCTTTATCAACAAAAGAGCATTTCCACAAATCAGCTAACCTGGGATTCAGTGTTTTAATCAACAAGATCTTCTTTGCATCTTCATCATAGAACAGAGCTTTTACCAGGGCCTCATCCCAGCTGCAGCCTCCAGCTAAGAGTAAATCCTTCACAAAGAATAAGTGTTCATTGATCTGAACTCTAAAAGAAGGTTTCCCTACCACTACACCATGAGCCCAATTATGATCAGAAAGTTTTGTTCCAGCCTAATTTCTAATCAATATCTCCAAATGACCTTTGAGAATAGGAATGAGAGATGCCCAAGATTTCCACAACCAAGAGTTACCATGGGAAACCTTCCAATCAAAAATAGAAGACTCGGGAAAATATCTGCTTTTCAGTACTCTAGACATCAGAAGCTCATGTTGAGCTATAAGTCACCATAGTTGTTTCAAGATGAGAGCTTTGTTCAGAGTCTGAATATCCAAGAAACCCAGCCCACCATTTATTTTTGGAATAACCATTTTCTCCCAAGCTTTCCAGTGCAGACTATTCTCCTGAGAACTTCCCTTACTCCACCAGAATTTTGCCATTAACCTGCATATTCTCTTGCACAGACCAATAGGGAGCAGAAAACAAGACATCACAAAAATTGGAAGGGCCTGCAAAACAGATTTGATTAAAACTTCCTTCCCTGCCGGTGATAACAAGTTATTCTTCCAACTTTCTATTCTGGCTTTCACTGACTCCTCAACAAATTGAAATGCATCCCTTTTAAAAGCACCAATACCCAGAGGAAGGCCAAGATATCTCGAAGATCTCTTTACCACAACCCCACTGAGTATAGCACTAATTCTACACACCATATCAGGCCTGCAATTTCTACTAAGGAACATGGAGGACTTGTGAAGATTAACCTTTTGACCTGTAAACCCTTTATAATTATGTAGGATATTCAGCATCAACCTTGCATGATAGTCATCGGCCTTACAGAACACAAGTGCATCATCTGCAAATAACAGGTGTGATAACATAGGAGCATTCTTTGCAATTTTGATCCCTTTGAATTGTCTAGAAGTCATCAAATAATGTAGATAAGAGGAAAGCACCTCAGAAACAATGATAAACAGATATGGAGACAGGGGATCACCCTGCCTGATTCCCCTAGTAGCTTTGACAAAGCCACAGTTAGCCCCATTCAAGTTAAAAGAAAAGGTAGGATGAGAAATGCAACTAAGAATCCAATTAATAAACTTCCCATGAAAGCCCATTTTCCTCATGATAACCTTGATGCAGATCCATTCTACCCTATTATAAGCTTTCTCCATGTCAAGTTTAATAGCCATAAACGCATGAGGACCTGATCTGTGTTTGTGAAAATAGTAGAACACTTCCTGAGCATTAACCACATTGTCTAAAAGACTTCTACCAGGTACAAAAGCAGTTTGAGCACTACTAATGCAGGAATTTAAACACAGCTTCAGTCTTTGAGCAATAATGTTAGCCACTACTTTGTATAATACACCACACAGAGAAATAGGTCTGAAATTGCTCAGAGAATCCGGGTAAAGACACTTTAGAATTGAAGTAATTACAGTATGCTTCCAGTTCTTCAGCATATTTCCAGATAAGAAAAAACTTTTGACTGCAGCACAAACATCATCTTTAATAATATTCCAAAAGTGTTTGAAGAAATAGACAGTCATACCATCCTCCCTGGGTGCCTTGTCAGACTCCATCATAAAGACAGCCGCTTTAATCTCCTTCTCCTCAATTGGTTGGACAAGAATAGAATTATGGTCATCAATGATAGTTCTGGAGATGTGCTGCAGCGTCTCAGCATTAGCGGAGCTCCCTTCTGAGGTAAACAAACTTGTGTAGAATTCTACCATGTGAGTCTCAATGGTATCTTTTGAATCACAAACCACACCACCATTGGTAACCAGCCTGTAAATAGAGTTAGATTTCCTCCTTTGAGCAGTGAACGCATGAAAAAACCGGGAGTTTTGATCCCTTTCTTTTAGCCACAAAGCCCTCGATTTTAGCCTCCAATAATTCTCTTCCTCTTTACGAGCCTGATCTAGCTCAGCCTTAGTACTTGCCCACTCTTCCCAGTCCCTCTCCAAACCATTGTTCCTCATCTCCTCCATTTTCTCTGTGAGAACTTTGACTGCTTTTTCACTGTTTCTATGCAGTGGTTTATGCCATGATAATAGAGCCATCCTTGTGTTCTTAATTTTTTGGTGAACTTGATACATCTGAGACCCATCAACTGAAACCTGCCACCCTTCCATCACCACATCTGTAATACCCTCCTGCTTCACCCAAGATTTGTCAAAAACAAATCTTCTTCTCCTACAGCTTACTTCCACCTCAGTATAAAAAATTATTGCATTGTGGTCAGAGGCAGTCCTATAGAAGTTTAAAGCCTCCATCTTTGTGCTGTTATTTTAGAAACCAATTACATTCCAGTAATTTTTGGTATGTGATGTTCCTATTGTACTTGATTGGGTAACTAATGATGCAAGCAACAATTTCTTCAAGGGGACCACTTCTCATGCACAAAAAGCTTAAGCATTAGTTATATTTCCTCTCTACATGTGAATCATTGCTACAACATTATTTCTTAATATCATGAAACTTACTTTTTTATCTCCAGCTTTGGTATTAAAGCACTAAATATGCACATAGAAATTCCATTATTATATCTATTACTGATAGTAGCTCTTGAGTTTATCTCCACATGTAATTGCATTTCTGCTTCCTTAACAAGGTTATGAACTTCAAGGCAAGATGAGGAAAATTGAGAAGGTCCATGGTGCAGCAGAGTGGTGGCGACAGTGGTTGAAGTTATAGGGAGAGTGTTAACGTGGATTTGAATGATTAAAGTGCTTTGATGAGGGAGTGGAGACGAGAATTCACCAGCGGAATATGATCGCTTAGCTGCCGTTGTCATCTAATTGTCGGGGTATGTGTATTCTCCTGTCGTCGCCAGTGCCCATAGTCTCCGTCAACGAGATGCTCGGTGTTTCTGTGCCCTGGCAACCTCGCTCCTATAAGTTACGTTTCTAAGAGTATTTTGGTCAATTTGGCCCAGGTTCTATTTTTTCTACTCATTTTCCAAATTTTCTGACCTTTTGTTCCATTGATGTTAATTATCTTTGTTTTGTTTTGTTTTATCTTTACAAAATTTTGTAAAGCATCAGTGAAAAAGTTCCACGAGTGTAAAAATTTAGGCATTGGCGGATTTGGGGAGAATTTTATCGGCCGGAAATCTCCGTTGTCTCCGGCAATGGTGCCGTCAAATTCGAAGTCGTCTTCAATGAGTCAGAACAAGATCGAGATCGAGACCGAGATGGCTGATGCTTTGGCGAAACAATCATTCTCAGTTGCCCTCATCTGAAAGGGAAGAAAAAGTCGATAGAGACAACACAGAGAACAACGATGAAAGTACTTTTGCAATTTACTCTCATCATTTATTTTTTTACAGAGATAATTAATGTGGATTTTGATGGATCTAAGACTTGAAGAGGTTAAAAGCTTGGCATGGTAAAGTTGAAAATGCTTCTTTTCAAGTTGAAATCGAGTAAGCCATAAAAAAGGCAATAAAGCAGCTGAAGAATTGGTTAGTGCATATGGGTCTGTGGAAAGAGGAAAAGTGAGGTCTCCTCATAGAGAGTTCGCACTGTTTGTTAAAGAATATGCTTGTGATATTCAGTATTTGACAGCGATAAAAGCGTGAGCATCTTCTTTTTCTTTGTTTTTTTCTCCTCTCATTTTTTCTTTCATTGTCCTCTAAATTTCGTAAATTCTGAATTTGATTATTTGTCACTAATGTAGCATTATTCATTTTGTTTCATCCCTACATTTATCTTAAATAAATCTTATCATATTTATGGTGGTGGGATCATGGATTTATAAGGAGAGTGTGGTCGAGACACAACTGTTTGAGTATTACCTAAATACGTAGATTACAAAGTTAATTATAGATTAAACTGGGCACGCACAGCCGTAACCCCACTAGTATAAGAAGATATAAGAGGCCTTCAAATGACGACAAGTGGCTTATTTGTGTGAGCGACACGTGGCCCATTAGTGAATTACAATTTCTACTATAATAGGCCTTCTAATCGACGTCGTATGGCCTTTTGCTTTTTCCCGAATTTTGGGGATTGCTTCTCAGTCTTTTGGTCAAACATACACCAACGATATTAAAAAATGTCAGCTTTTGCTGATACCCGCACGTCTTCCTCCTCTGAAAAGCCCAAAATTAGGGAACACCACTCCTCCATTTCCCAAACCCCAAATCGTACTATTCCACTTTTCACAAGCGATGTCGTTTAAGCGAAATCACCCATAAGAAGAGGTATAGTCCCATTTCTCTTTTCAAATCCTCGTCGTAGACCTCCTCTAAGGGATCAGAGTGACTCATCTCTCCCGATGTCGTCGGTCGTGTGGAGCACCTCCTCTCCTTACTTCCGGTGGCGATTTTGGCCTTCTTTGTCCCCTGTCTCCGGCAGACAAGGAAGTCCTCGCCTACCACATATCATGCTCCTTCGCCAGCCTCTACAGCAACAACTAAAATTCTTTGTATTTTTCTTTTGTTTGTGGGATTAAGTTGAAAGTTGCATTCAATAGATACAAACTGGAGAAGAATAAGTTGTTAAATTGGTGAGTATCTCTTAACTCAAAATATTGAAGTTTTTTTTTTCTTTTATATATATGGAATATTGAAATTTTAGTAGGAATAAGGAATTGTAAAATAAAATTTATTTATTTTCCATTTTGTTGCTTTTATGATTAAGCTGATTGTGACTTTGTTTTCATGAGCTACAAGACTACTCAAGATGAAGCTCATACATCTCTAGGTACGCAATGAATAATATGTTTTGACTTTTTGATCATTTTTTCTTTTGTGAAATGTGTTCTAGACATTTTTCAGTTGGGTGGAAAATTTTGATTTATTCATTTAGTTGCTACTGCCTTATTAAAGTAAAAGCTTTTCATCATACGAATACTTTCTTTTTTTTTTTTCATGCATTTAAATGGTGCTCACCTGAACAAATTGAAGGGGTGATGATATGTATCAGTTGTTATCTTGACTACATTATTGCAGAGAATATTTGACATTGTTTTTCTATGGTTTTTGTGGGTGTGCGTGTGCTTCATTGAGTGATTGGAGAAATTATGTGTTTGCCCGATGATTGAAAGAAATGAATTAATTTTATTTAGTTTCCAATGACTGTTTTGTGACATTAAATTCATTCTCAGGCGACAATTGGTCATTATTGTGATTCGTTATCTTGGTTTGGGTTACAGTTTTATTGATCTTACAACACTTATCAAGTTAATGGCATAGAATTTGTATCCCATTACTTTTGATTCAAGAAATGAGAGGATCTTAATTAGTTTACAATGATAAGTTTGATACATTCTAAAATTTTAGGGAAAATTTCAAAACTAGTCCCACAGGCATAAGGGGGTGACATTTTTTGTCCCAACGGAATTCAAAAAATATTAATAGTCCCGCAACTTTTGAAAAATAATCAAAAGTAGGACATTTTTCAATTTTCCGGCCCGGAATGCCACGTGGCACACACGTGGCGGGATTATTTAAGATTTTATGGATTCTTTTGGGACCAAAAATGTCACCTCCCAAAACCTGTGGGACCAGTTTTGATTTTTTGTTCCTTGTCATTGTACTCAGCCACGTCAGATGAATGTGGCCACGCGGCATTCCGAGCCGGAAAATTGAAAAAAGTCCTACTTTTGATCATATTTTAAAAGTTGCGGGACTATTAATATTTTCTAGATTCTGTTGGGACCAAAAATGTCACCCCCCCTATACCTGTGGGACTAATTTTGAATTTTTTTCCAAAATTTTATATCACATATGATGTGAAAGTATGAAAGTGATTCATTGTCTGGTTTGGGTTGAGTTGATTTGTTCATCTTAAAACACTTATCAAGTTAATGGAATAGAATAATCACCACATTAATTTCGAACGCTTATATAAATTTTACCTCTTTTATTTAAACATGCTATATTTTCTTAAATGTTTCCTTTCTTTGCACGTTTGATTTGTCCAATAACGGTGATACTAATTTGATGCATTCGAAGGCTAAGCAAACCCTAAAGATCAAATTTAAGGAGGAAAGATGCATGTTCGGTGATAATGAAGG